AATATTTTGAGGCAATTACCCCCAAAATCAATTACAGCCTTCCCTTTGTGATATGGAACCTTGTGGTACAATGTCAGAGAGATCCATACACTTACACACAAGTAATTGTCTGAAAGTTACAAAAATGCTTATTTTTGGCCCCTTTTTGGCCCCTAATTCCTTAACTGTTGGTACCATAACCCCCAAAATCAATCCCAACCTTCCTTTCGTGGTATTGAACCTTATGGTAAAATTTCATGGAGATCCATTCACTTAAACTAAAGTAAGAGTGCGAAAACCAATGTGTCTTCGGACGACGCCGGACGACGCCAGACGACGACGACGACGACGACGACGACGACGACAACGTCATACCAATATACGACCAAAAAATTTTTAATTTTTGCGGTCGTATAAAAATGACAGAATTTTCTTATACTTTGTGAACTTAAATTTTGTAGCATGGTAATTGAAAAAATCCAAAAAAAATTGGGGGTCACCAGCCATCTAAGAGATTTTTTGACCTCTGAAAATGAGTGCAAATAGGCTATATGGATATATAGGGAAAATGGACATAAAGCCTCTTTGATTGAATTTTCACAGCAAACAAAATGACAGAAGTTGCTCATTTTTTCATACGGAAAAGCTTGATGTCTCTATTTTATGAAATTGGAATAAAATTTGGGGGTCACCGGCCATCCAAGAGATTTTGTTACCTCTACAAATGAGTGCAAAAAAGGCTAAATATAGGAAAAATGGACATAAAACCTCTTTGATTGAATTTTCACAGCAAACAAAATGACAGAAGTTGCTCATTTTTTCATACGGAAAAGCTTGATGTCTCTATTTTATGAAATTGGAATAAAATTTGGGGGTCACCGGCCATCCAAGAGATATTTTGACCTGTGAAAATGAGTGCAAAAAGGCTAGATATAGGGAAAATGGACATAAAACCTCTTTGATTGAATTTTCACAGCAAACAAAAATGACAGAAGTTGCTCATTTTTTCATACTATAAAGCGTGATGTCTCTATTTTACGAAATTGGAAAATATTTGGTGGTCACCGGCCATCCAAGAGATTTTTTGGCCTCGGTAAATGAGTGCAAAAAGGCTAAATATAGGGAAAATGGACATAAAACCTCTTTCATTAAATTTTCACAGCAAACAAAATGACATAAGTTGCTCATTTTTTCATACTGAAAAGCTTGAAGTCTCTTTTTTTATAAAATTGGAATAAAATTTTGGGGTCACCGGCCATTCAAGAGATTTTTTGACCTCTGAAAATGGGTACAAATAGGCTAATTTCTGAATGGATATAGGGGAAATTGGAAAAAACCTCTCTTTGAATATTCACAGGAAAAAAATGACAGAAGTTGCTAATTTTTATGCCCCATCGTAGCTGAGGGGGCATTGAATTTTACCCTTGTCCGTATGTAAGTCTGTTCGTCCGTATGAACGTCCCAGATTTGATTTCCGTTCTCCAGCTTTTATTTGCCTCAACCAAATGTTATGAAACTTTATCAAAATGATTTTACCACACAACACACACCAAGTGTTTCTAGAGTTATGCCCCTTTACAAATTGAAAAATTGCTGAATTTTTCCTTTCCTTTCTCTAACTTTAGTTTGCTTTTACCAAATGTTATGATTGATATCTTGCAGTTTCCTACGCATTTTCTTATCAAACTTTGAAGTATTATTAAGTATCATGTGCAGATTAGATTTCGGTGTAAATAGGCTGTGTTTGCTTTATATATAAGACTCATTTCTAGAGGAGCACCAACATAAACTATTATGTAAAGGAAACATGGCATTTTCTGTTTATTTTCTTATTATGATATGAGTTCGAATGTCCCATTAGTATGGTTAATCTTTCTTTTATCACACATTAAAGATTCATATAAATGTGAGCATTTGTTCTTGTTTTCTTTTCATTTCTTTTTAATATTAAAAAAATACATTCCGAGTAAATTTGACAAAAAATAGACTTACCATCACTACCACACATAATCAGCACAGTAAGTGCCCCCCTTTTTCCACTCCATTTGATTATCCAGTATTATGTGGTGATTATAATTATAATTGTTTTTCTTTTTGTGTGTTACCGAGTTGATTTAGGGAATTAACATGACTAAGCATATTTCTTGATAGAAGTGAAACAACAACATGTGATCTAATACATTTATTTTATTTTCAATGGATATCTGTTCTTACGTTTGTTTGTACATATATAATTAAATAAAGATGCCAAATAAATAACATGTTTTTCTCAGTTAGAAATACTGTTTGTAGTAGCTAGGTTAAATAATTTCACTGAATAAAATTTGCAAAAGCCTTGCTAATAATATAAATTTTTAAAAACATTAAGACATTTTGCTTTGGACTTCAACATGACAAATTCTAGATTTAACCCTAATTTGGTTTATTATACAATTATTTGCAAAATGTAGATCATAATGAATATGTGTAAAATTGCATTAACTATGTTCAGCACAAACATTGACCTCACCAATAAGTGAATACATGTATCATCATGTAAACATCAAATAGTCATGATTGAAGTCATCAAAATAGTGTTTGTTTGAATATATTTGCCGTAACTTGTATAAGTCTTTCTGATATCATTTTATCCCATATTCAATCTTTTAAAGATGGAGATCTCCTTCTTTCCCATCCACAGAGGTAGGAGTATAATTATGCCAGACATCTCATTCAAAATTTTACTTTTTGAATATACAGTATTTTGATACTTCTGTACAAACAGATGAAAGTATGTTATCTATAAATAGATTTTTTAAAGTTCCAACAGCAATAACATTTCTAAATAACATTGGATGTCTTTTTACTAATATAAACACCTGAGAGACTACAATTGTTCCTGCTGCTTTTTTATAATTGTTAAGCTATTTTCCAAAAATTTCTATATACTTGTTCTAATTGCCTGTACAAGCAATAAAAAAAATCCACCAAAATATATATAAAAAAACACAGAAAAGACTAAGATTTATAGAACTGTTAACTCAACATATTTTGAAACTCTTATCTCAAGTTGAACTTTTTTTCAAGAAACTGTACAGTCAAAATTTATCATACTATGTTCATACAGTCTATCTTTATGATCAAAATTTGGGTTATAGCTGGATAGATTACTTCACTGGATTATGTATGCATTAAAAACTCAAATGCATCTCCTCCAGTAAGAAATGGTTTTCCAATCAACAATAAATTATTACACAAACTTAAAAAAAATTGATATCTAAAAAAATTCAAGGTTCATATAAAGTTGTATAACTATCAAAACTATTTGGTTTATATCATGAAGATATGTCTACAATACATTTATAAATATTACAGCAGGGCTCACACTACCATTTACACTAATTTACAGTACACATTAATGTTTATCTCTGATCATGAATTTCAACAAAAGGTTAGTTAAGGTAAAGTTCTGCATAACAACGATCAATTTTCTAATTCTTATCATACAGGAGGAATAATATTTTACGTTAAAACTTCATGACCTCCCATGTAACTGTATCATATGCTCTTAAAGTATTACCACTGACTGACTACCTTAACAAACATATTTTTCCTTTACTTGTGACTAATTAGATACTCATATACTCTTTGTATAATTATTTTGTTTGATGTCACTCTAACTACCCCAGTTGAAGACTTTTCTGTCATTAAGGCTTTGAGTCCTGCCATGTCATTTCGTTGTACTGCTAATTGGAAATGTTGAAACCTTAGGTTAGACCTTTTGGTCTTTAGTGCCATAGCTTTTGACAGACATTTTGATTGAACTAGCTCTTCAAAAGTTTTCAAGTTGGCCAATTGCATCTGGTATAACTGAGGGTAGCTAGGTGAAAAAGCAAGTTCACTAATAAATTGAGAAACATTACCTTTCTCAGTGACTAAATTAAAAAGTAATTTTGTGTCATACACAGCATTATGAGATTCATACTGTTGACTAATAGTTTATCAACGAGAAAAGACTGGCTATAAGATGACAAGCCAGGTGAAACAAGTTTAAACAAATTCAAAGAGTCTAAAAATGCAACAGTTCTTGCACATAGTTCACTGTACATATTCATAGATTTTAAGGTATGAAATAAAACATGGCAGTCAAATCGTTTTATATTATGTCCTACCAATACAGGTTTATCTGTGAATCTTGACAAATACAAATAAGTTAAAAATCAGTCATTCTTTCATGTTTATGCTTATAAACAACAGCATTACCATTGTAATACATTTTTGGTCCTACAATAGTGATTTTTGTTATTTCTGATGCTTCTCTTGAAATTTGTTGGTCTGGAAATATATATCGACTGAAGGAACTGTCTTTGATGCATGCAGTTAAACATTTTGTTTATTATTGTGCATCTAAACTGTAAAAGGTATTTCGAAAAAGCAATTGATTGTCAAAAAATTATAAACAGGACTAAGTCTTCTATCCCCCTCATTTGAACTTTCGTTGATGGTCTTATTGGCAATTATACCACATCTCCTTATTTCATATCTCTCTTCATTGAAATAACTAAAAAAAAAAAGTTTTGCTCCACTGGTCTGTAAATATTTTTCTAAAATTATCATCTTTGTATTTTATCTCACTTCCAAAATAAGGTAGATGCAAAGTGTAAATTGCTAAAAAAAATGAAAGAGTTATTGCCCCTTAAATGTATTGTTTCAGCAATTTTCAGTTTTTGGTTTTATTTCAACTAAAAGAAAAAAAGAACATTAGAATAATCATCAAAAGCAAGCTAAATTATCAAGGTGAGTCATTCATGATCCTCTTAATATACTTTATTCATAAGGCAGCCAAAATGCATTGACTTTAAAATTTGGCTTTACACAGTATATACAGACATTGATAATGTGTTTCTGTAGATATTGTTATATCTTTGATGTCATGAAAAAATCCAGTTCTTTCAATTTTAACATTATCCACTGAAATATTTTTTTATAATTGAGGTAACTCATTTCTGAAGTATAATTATGTATAACATACTTAAACCATTTGTCTTTAAATCAAAACAAACTATTGGTGCATCATCTATGTTGTAAAGGTTTCAGCTTCAGGAACTGCAGGTATTTCTTCTATGTCTATTGTTGCAAAATCTTCTAACCCTAATTAAAATAATATATACCAAGTCTTTGAAAGAAAATAATTTCAACTTTATAAAATATCAAAATCTACTAAAATTCATTAATATTTTGTGACTAAATTGTCCCAAAAATTACAATACTTCAGAAGTCTGGTAAATTTCATGATTACATCTTCATGTTAGTTATATAACTTTAATGTCTGGCTGAAATCTCACGCATTTTCACAGTTGGTGATTAATTGCACAGTCACTTTATAATTTGAAAACTTTTTTGACCTGGGGACATAAAAATATATACATGAATATTACATATGCATGGACCTGATGGTGTTGCATTCTTCTATTTGGATATAATGATCAAATGTATCAAAGGTTATTTTATATATCCTAAGCCTTGTTTCTATTTTAAAGTATATATTGATGCTATGTTTCTATTATAATAATAATTATGTATATTGACCTCTTCAAAAGTAAAAAGCACATCATACTTTCTGTCAATACAAGAATTATTACCGATTGAACTGTGGTATGTTCTCCCTTCTTTGACTTCAGCCACTGTTGTTTTTTGTAGGCGTTTCTTTTTGAGAACTTTATGTTGTTTTTTTCCCTGTTTGCTTTTTAATCTGTTTTTGTTGCCCTCTCTCTTCTTGTTTAATTTATTACCCCTGCTTAGGGTCTCATTTCCAGGTGACAGGCCTATAGATGTGTTTAACTGAAAAATCAATTCATTTAAAATCATGCAAGTCTTTATCATCTTTATAATAATTCCTTAAAAAAATCATATTTTGTATGCTTTTGTAATGAAAGTTGAAGGCATTTTGTAGTATGAATATTACATTTTGAGCAGCAATAATCAATCATTGAATAGAATTCGGCAAAATTGAGATTAATCTTGACCTGATGTAGAATAATCAGAATATTTACCCAGGAATCTTTAACAGTTGATATCATAATGTATTGGTTTTTTTGCTCATTTTTAAAGGCTGTAAAAGTAAGGGCTTTTCCAGAATTAATTTATGGGAAGGAGGACAGCACTTTTATTAAAATTTGATGGGTGGTGGTTATCTAAGAAAGATTGCCTGAACATTTATATGAAATATCCAATTTAAAATGTATGCATGGTTGGGTCAAATAAAAAGTGCCTTCCTACCCCCCCCCCCCCCCCCCCCCCCCCCCCCCCCCCCCCCCCTCATTTGCAATCATACCGTATTTTCTTATTTTTATATTTTTTTAGTTTATTTTTTTTAATAGAGAAGTATATATATATATATATATATGAAGTGAGATTGCATTTATTACATGTTCATTGTGATTATTAAAGCCTTAATGTAAGTTGCTAATTTCTGTTCATTTGTCTTAATTGCAATTAAGTATAGGATGTTTATCAAATAATACCTCAGCAACATAATTATAACCCTCATTCTTTTGGAGTACGGCTGAGCTGACTCTGTAATTTAAAGATGCTGATGTGGAGAAATGTTTGGTTTTAAGAGCTTTGAGAGCAATTAAGTTATTAAAGCTTTCATTTGCCTGTGATGAGCCCAAGTTAGATAGCTTTTTAGACTGTGGAACCATTTTTTGAATAAACAGTTTCTCAAGATCTGATCTGTGTTCAGACGAACATAGGTCTTTTCCACGAGGAAGATTTGAATGGATATAGGAATCCTTGTCTTTAAGGTATCCACACCAAGTTTCATTGCAGTTATCATGTTCGCCAAATATGTGTTTTATTGATGCATGTAGGCCGTCCTCGATACCACTTGGATTACCTACATTCTGGTTGACAACGTATGTAAAGTTTTTAACAATTGCGTCACAAACCATTCCAGTTAACTCTTTGTGTTTTGGCTTTAGTTCATTTATCTTTGAAATAATGTTATGTTTGATATGATTTCTATCACTTATTTTTTCCATTTTTGAATTGGGCATTATTAATCGCTTGGCTCAGTCAAAACCTGTGGAATCATCATCTCCTACTACTTCTAATATATCCACTCCTTTTTCATCTAATTCCTTTAACATTTCGACTTCCATATCTGGTTCCATACCCTGAAATAGTTTTTAAAATAATGTGTATTCAGTAAACATTTAGATGATACCACAACCCCATATTTGATTATCAAAAGCCTTAAACTTTGCATTGACAAATTTTTTGGTAAAAATTCCTCAAAAATGAAAGCGTACAAGGTTTGATTAATTCAACAGTTGTATCTAACAATTCTAATAATCTGTCAATTATTTGAAATTGAAATGTTTTGGAAACACTAAAGAATGAATGGTCCTCACATTCACTTTCATCAACTAAACATTGAATATGCCAATTCAAAATTACAACTTATTTTCAAAGTAAATATTGAGGTGTTGTTTGTTTTCACAATGCAATGATGACGGGACGTATCATGAGATATCGTTGTCTGTCTGTTCTTCTGTTGTCAACATGTAGGACATTAACTCAAAAACGCTTTAACTAATTTGCATAAAACTTTGATGAATTGTTATATATATTGATGTGAGATCCCTTTGGTTTTTTATAAATTTTAGATTTTACATTTCCGAGTTATGGGGTTTTATTCATTAAAAAAGGGGTGATTTTCCAGTTTTGGACAATGACTCAAAAATGCTTTCAGCAATTCTCATGAAACTTTAGTGAATTGTTTATATCTATTGATGTAAGCTCCCTTTTGATTTTTATACATTAGAAATATGACATTGAGAAGTAATTGAACTTTTTCTTTGAAAAAGTGATGGGGGTATCATGTGCTCATGGCGCAGCTGTTTATTACCATTGTTATTGCTTTCATATGGTAAATACCTTTGCCGAACCACTCCAATTCTTTCTACACTTATGTTGTCGTGGTAAGACACCTCTGCCCTTTGCCCTTTCACAAATTCTACAGCTTGATATGCGAACCTTATGGTTTACAACTTTGCCTGTGATTTTTCCAATCAGTGTTGAAACTTCTTCAAAATGCAACATATTGAAGTTTTATATCTAAATCACAATGTTCAAGCCAAGATTTGAAAAGAACAGGTTTATATTGAGCATATCAAAGAACCCCATATACTAAAATGTTGTTGCTCATGAAATGTACAAAACCGAAGAGTTATTGGTATTTTTTTGTTTTTTTCATTTAACAAATTGCAAATTTGTGGCTTTGTGACCATTTTGAAAAAATAATGTGAAAGTTTGGTTTAGTTTATATCTGTATATTATATTTGTTCAGCATCTACCAGTACCTTGTTTAAAGAAACTTTAAACCACAAAAAGAAGAATATCTGCTGTATTATTTTTATTAGATTTGAGATTTTTTACCTTGACTTGTTGAAAAATTTAATAAATGGTCAACTAATGAATGACGAAATCTAGAATGTAGCTTGATAAAAGATAGGAAAACACCTTAAGAGTTGTTTGTTATACTCTAAAGAAGGCTAAAATATCAACAATCAATACATTCTATAGAATAGAAGCAGTAAAGTTATAATTTTTGTATCAATTTTAATTGATATTTCTGCCTTTTTTGCAGAGTTATCTCCCGTTTTCAATGCAAATCTCCATAGGAATTTTAAATCATGATTTTTTAGTCTTCCTCAAGTAAGAATATATAAAACTTTTTGCTGTGTATATTTGGGGTATAATGCCTGGACTAATGGGTATGACTATGCGGTATGGGCTTTGCTCATTGTTGAAGGCCGTACGGTGACCTATAGTTGTTAATTTCTGTGTCATTTTGGTCTCTTGTGGAGAGTTGTCTCATTGGCAATCATACCACATCTTTTTTTTTATAATGGGGTATATTCCAAAAAGAAAGTAACTAATATTTAACAAGCAAAATGCATTTCTATAGATCCACCCACCAGGTGATCACACTGAATGGACATGAAATAAGCACTGTCATTTTTACCTGATAAGCTGTAGTACGATCGGCCAGATCCTTTTTTCTGCCAGCATGTATCAGTACTTATGCATATTCCACTTCTACTGTCTGTTTGATCTTCTAATTTAATAGGAAAAAAATGCACATATAATATATATATATATATAGAAATAAGTAGTAATTATAGACCACTTCTGTAATCCACTTTGGTCTTGACTGTCCTTAACTAGTGTGATTAATTAATATCAATCTTGGTATAGTCTGTATAATTGATTCGAAAAATGCTCGTCCAGTCTTGACTCTGTCTCGACCTGTGTCTACAATCTTGATCTTCAAATTTAGTCTAGACTGGTCTGAATGAACCTATCTAACTATATAATGAATTTTATATTAATTTTACAAACTTTCAGGTTATTTGATAGTTTGTTCATTGCTGTCAAATTAAAGGCTTTGATTAATAGGTAGAAAAAAATAGAATTTTCAGTTCTGAATAAATTAATATAGTGACCTTTAATTATAACTTTAAATTTTTCAATTAACTTAGATTTTCATAAAACTTTGCAGCTATCTCAATTATATATTGATCTTACAGAATGCCATATTGTTTGGTAGCTTGGTGTATTGCTGTCAAATTAAAGGATTTCATTAATAGGTAAAAACAGCAAGAATTTTCAGTTTGGACTAAATTCTGATAGTCACATTTAAATTTTTATAAAACTTTTCTAAATCAACTTGGATTTTCATTAAACTATATAGCTATCTGAAATATATGATGATGTTATAGAATGCAAGGTTGTTTGGTAGTTTAGAGTGTAGCTATCAAATTTAAGGACTTAATTAATTGGTTAAAAAAAGCTAGAATTTTCAGTTTGGACTAAATTCTGATAGTCACCTTTAAATATTTTCATAACTTTTTCAAGTTATAATTCTGATTTTTCATCAACATCTTTAGCTATCTCAATTAAATATTGATCTTGCAAAATACCAGGTTATTTGGTAGTTTTCGCAACTTTTGTTTATTGCTGTCAAATTTTAAAATTTAATTTATAGGTATCTTTATGCATTTAGACCAAACTGAAAATTGTGACTTTTTTTTACCTATTAATTAAATCCTTAAATTTTATGGCAATCAACAAAATAGCCACATTACCTGCATTTTGTAAGATCAATATATAATTAAGATAGCTGTATAGTTTTATGAAAATCCAAGTTGATTTAGAAAAGTTAGAAAGAAAATTAAAGGTGACTATCTGATTTAAGTACAAACTGAAAATTCTTGCTTTTTTTTTTTGGTTGAGATTGTAGAGTCTGAGTCCAGACTGGTTGAGCATTTGTCGAGACCATATTCAGACTATACCAATATTATCAAGTACTCATCAGGCTTATAAAGTAAAGTATAAGAAAATGTATATAAATACAAAATAGCCATAATTGTTATCAAACCTGTTGTGGAATTCAATATTTCCCTTTGCAAGTGTCTTTGTTGTGACATGATGACCTGATTATCAAGAACACTGCCGGCTTCATTTTCTCTAATTTTCAAGGTCTTTGCATCTATGCAATGGACATTAAGTGATGACAAAAAGTTTTTGAGCTGAGTCTCGCCAATACCAGTATGTATCATTTCTGTGTTGTTTATTAAAAGATGTTTAATAAAAATGAATTGTGAATACATCAAAAAAATTGGTTCAATGTGTATTTTTTAACATGTTTAATGAATGAAGTGTTTTTCACAAGGCCTTTCATCATCACTACAAATTCTGTAATTGAGGCTATCAGAATTGTTTTTTAATGTAATATGTATATGTGAAGCCTAGGCGGTCGAGTGGTCTAACGTGTTGGATATAGTGCAATACGATTTTGTGCCACAATATCTCAGTAGTATGAGTTTGAATCCCGGCGAGGGAAGAACAAAATAAATTTGCGAAAGCAAATTTACAGATCTAACATTGTTCGGCTGATGTTTAGATGAATTATATATTTATATACCAGTAGACAGATGGTGTTATAAATGTGTTTGATGCTATAATTTATATATTAAATCCAAGATATAACTAATGATTTTGTACATGATGTGCTTTTTTTTTTCATTTTTCTCAATCAAGTAATTCTTTCTGTCAGTATTGTTCTTTTGTATTACTTTAATTGTTATTTTCTTATTATGTTGCCCCTTCAAAAGCGCCTTGTTTCTTCAATTTGAAATAAAGTATAATTTATATGTTATTCTTCTATACATGTACAGATGTACAGGGTTATGTTTTTCTTATATATTTTATGATAGATATAGGAAGATGTGGTATGAGTGCCAATGAGACAACTCTCCATCCAAGTAACAATTTAAATAAACTGCTTCGCTGAGCGCAGCTGGATACGCTCGCAGAGGTCCAACCCTGAACAGTTGGGGCAAAAATGGACACAATATTCAAGCTTGATACAGGTCTGAATTTGGATTGTAATTAAATATTTGATATATTATAGGTTTCTGAATAAATGTAGTCAGAGAACTTGAAATTGGTTATATGAAAGATTTCTTGCTGTTGTGCAATACACTGTGCTGTTGCGCATTACTTAGTAAATCTGTAGTCAGACTATAAACAAAAAAAATCTTATAACTCGGAAATGTAAAATCGAAAATTTATAATAATCAAAAGGGAGCTTACAATATAGATATAAACAATTTACCAAAGTGTCATAAAAAATGCTGAAAGCATTTTTGAATTCTTTTCTGAAAACTGAAAAATCCCCCTTTTCGTAATGAATAAAACCCCATAAATCGGAAACGTATGGTCTGAAATTTATAAAAAAGCAAAAGGGAGCTCATGTCGATAGAAATAAACAATTCACCAAAGTTTCTTGCAAATTGGTAAAATT